CTTATCTCATCTCATCTTACCTTATCTCATCTCATCATATCTCATCCTTTATCTCACCTCACGCCGATTACCCCCCCCCCCCCCCCCCAGGTTCACGCGTCGTGCAAGGAGCAGCTGAGCAAGAAGTGCCCCCTGGGTCAGTGCCGTGTGTCCATCCTCCCGCCCACCGCCATCTCCACCATCGACAGTGACGGCTACTGGGAGGGCACCCGGCCCCACGGCACCTCCCCCCTCCTCGTCTACGTCAACACCAAAAGTGGCGACAATCAGGTACCGTACGCTGGCGGTTAGCAGCAGTTGTTGTTGTTGTTGTAGCGTGCAGCGCAGAGTAGTTGCAGCTCTAGCAGTAGTTGTTGTAGCAGTTGTAGAGACAGCAGTAGTTGTAGCAGCAGCAGTCGTTGTAGCAGCAGCTCAGAGTAGTTGTAGCAGTAGTTGTAGCAGCAGTTGTAGCAGTAGTTGTAGCAGCAGTTGTAGCAGTAGTTGTAGCAGTAGTTGTAGCAGCAGTAGTTGTAGCTCCGTTGTAGCAGCCCTGCTGTTGCAGTAGCAGTAAAAGTAGTAACGGCACAGCAGCAATAGCGGAAGCAGCAGTAGCAGCAGCAGTTGTAGTTGCAGTAGCAGCAACAATAGCAGCAACAATAGCAGCAAAAGTAGTAGTAGAAACAGGAGCACAAGCAGCATCAGCAACAGAAAATTTGAAATAGTAGCAGTAGAAGTTGTAGCAATAGTATTGTTATTATTATAGTTGCTGCATGTAATATTATTGATTGTTGTGATGATGATGATAATAATAATATAATTATTGATAGTATTATTTTTACTATGTCGTATAATTATATTATGAATATCATTACTATTATTGTGCAAAGAAAATTGTTATTTTGTCTTGGGGGATTTTCATAACCTTTTCAGAAAATACACAAGGATCTGTTAAAAGAAAACATTCAATTACAATTTTTAAAATAAATTTCAACATTTATGTGAAATAGATCTATGCCCAACACGCAAAAAGAGAACCGCGTAGTTTGGCAGTAATTTGGTCATTTTGTACCCCCGGGGGTTATATTCTTCACATTTTAGAATACTTCTAATACGGAGATTTCTTTGAAACTTTCAGTATTTCTTTAAAAAAATAATTTGGACAGACTGCTGTGCAAGGCGTACGGATCGGATTAACAAGTAATTTCATGTTTGGAAAGTAGTTGCACAGAGTTCCCTAGGTCGTATGGATACGATAATAAAACACGACGTACGGATAGGGTTAAGTGGTGGCACAGAGATAGGGAAGGACATCTTAGAGGACGAGGATGGGGTGAGTCTGGAC